CAGAGACGCACAAACGTAACCTGAACTGCCTAGTAGTTGCATTTCTGATCCAACTCAAGAATTAAGATGGAGCGCTCGTGTGTGTGGAGGGGGGTGCCCTGAGGTGGTTTGTCTTTTGGAAACCAGCTGGGTGCAAACCCTCTTTCTGTTTTTTCCTGAAAGTATGAACGGCCAGGAGCATCCCCAAAGAGAAGCCACGATGGGGAGTGTACCGCCATTCCAAGTAAGTGCCTTGTCCTGGTGCTTCCTGTGTGTCTTGTGTTCCCACAGCCTTCCCCATCAGCTTGGAGCTCTGCCGCTCCTGTGTGAGCTGGGAGGTGCCTCACAGCGGCTCTCATTTCTGGCAGATTAATTATTTTGGGGACTAAAAGCTACTTAACACTCCTAGTATTAGCGTTTGCCAGTTACAGAATACTGCTGCATAACAGATATGTTTATAGCTATTCTCTGAGGAGTTTCTGTGCACGCTTGCCTGCAGTTTGATATCTTGTCAGTGTTTTTATATTCAGTGGAAATACTTCGCAATTTTTAAAAATCAAGCCTTTGTGAGGCAGTTTCTAGTTCTTTAAAATTTTTGTTGCTCGTGCTTTCGAAAACCCTGCTGACGTAGCTAGTCTCTGCTGGTAAGGTCTCTACTCTGCGCGTGTATCTAAACCCAGTATGGTGGGGTCAGGCTAGGCTTGTAAGTCTCAGCATTAATCTAGAAAAGTTTAAGGTCAGGTATTTTTACAGTGGTGCTTCTGATTAGCTCTTTTGTAGCATATGCCTGGCAGTCAGCACAGCAGCTGTTACCAAACCTAAGATAACTTGGGAGTCTATATCCCTAACAGAGGTGGGATGGGAGGCTGGTATCAAGGAGATGTGTACGCTCCAAGGTAGAAAGGAAGGACAGCAAAACCGGATCCTTCCTTCAGTACTCCGCTGTGGTGTGACTCTTCTTAGGATGACAGAGGGGTGTAGATATTCTGCATGATCCCAAAGGCGCCGTTTTTAAAATGCTGAAAGCTGTTAATTTCCATCTGACACAGCGACACGCCAAATTGAGATCCTGGAGCTGGAGGATTTGGAAAGGGAGTGTGTGTTGGCCCAGATCCGGTTGACTCTGGTGCAGCATGACTTGTCAACAGCTGCTGTGGCAGGTAAGAGAGGGACACGGAGCAACCACCTCTAAGTTTCCTTGTGGTTTTTGTTAGTTACAGCGCTTTCAGTTGTCGTTCGAGCGAGTAGGCAAGTTATGTTTCACCTCAGAGGAAAAAACGGCAGCTGACAGTGGCAGTGCAGTTTGCCTCCCTAGCGACACACTGCCACCAATTTCAGCAGCTTTGGAGAGGCAGATCAAGAGAACCAATTGAAGTCTTCCACTTTTTTCTGGCTTCTGCCAAGCTCTTAGTAGGCGGTCTGCAGCATGGGCTATTTCCCTGCTCCATCTGCCTGAACGGTAGGAGAATTTGAAGGTGGACTCCATGTTGCTACTTGTGTCCCTCTCCCCGTTGGTATCTTATCCATAGGTGCATCCGTGTGTTACTGTGCGCTAATGAGGAGCACTGCTGCTTTGTGCAGTCCCTCTGGGAAATGCTCCTGGGCTCATGAGATGCTCCCGAGGCCAAGAAAGCCTCAAGCTGCGCGATGAGAAATGCTACTGTAGTGTATTTTATATGTGGCCGCGGTGTGGTGCTACTGTAATTCTGTCACTGAACTGCCTGGGGCCAGGCCCCAGTAAGCGTGGGGGGCTGTGACTGGGGAAGGTGCTTACCTGGTCCTCATTCCCTGCAGGCAGCTCTACACCCGAGGAAACGGTTGCTCTCCTGGTCCGGGCTGGCCTCTTTGACACCGCCATCAGTCTGTGCCAAACGTTCAAACTGCCCTTGACGCCCATCTTTGAGGGACTCACTTTCAAGTATGTAGTGGCAGCTTCTACCCCCTCCCTCAGGTGACACACAGCTGGAGGAGAGACGTGCGTAGTGTGACGTTTACAGGGCTCAGCTTGCAGCTCCCCAGGCTCAGAAGGCAGCGCTGCCCTGACCTGTCTGCTCGCCATGGCCGCTAAAGCTGCGCACGGCCTTAGCAGCTGCTGGTTTAGTGGTTTTGGGGTGGAACTTGCTTCTGACACCTGAAAAGGGAAAACAGAGGAACACTACCTTGCTGAGCAGGTAGTAGAGGGGAGATTTCTCCCTTGTCTCGGGAGGGAGGGCTGACACTTAACAGTCACAGACAGCCCTGACCCAGGCGCAGCCATCATCTGGAAACGCTTCTGGTGAGCTGGTTCATGGCATGCTCCTGTTGATACCCAGTGAGCTGCTTACAGAAGATTTGTTCAAGCCGTTCAGCGGCTCTCAAACAGTGGTTGGCAGAGCGCTTGCTTCTCTGTCTGATCTCCTCTGTGCTAGCTGTCATGCCTCATCTCTGACCTCGCTATTCCTCTTTTCCTTTGCCCTTTCATGCTTATACAAGATGTGTTGTGCCTGCGGAGCCATTTGGGAGCTCCGCTGTGACCCGTTCCTGTGGCTGGATGTGTTGAGGGCCTCTTACCCAGGCTCAGGCCCTAAAGCTTGCTAACATCAGAGTAGTTACTAATTCCTCTTTGGCGCTTAGAGCAGCTTAGAAACAACTCCGATAGCCTTTTTTTTCCTGCCAAGCCGGTTAATTCATAGCTGTTGCTTGGGAATAGTCCTGTGCGCGGTGGCTTTGTGATACTGGCAGCTGTGGCAAGGCAGGATGAAGGGGTCGTGCTCTGAAGGTGGCCGCGTTTGCATTGTGCCTGCTCTGTGTATTCAAGGTGCATCAAACTGCAACTGGGAGGGGAAGCAGCGCAAGCAGAGGCTTGGGACTGGCTAGCAGCAAACCAGCTCTCCGCGCTAGTTACCACCAAGGAGTCCAGGTAGGCCCTTGTCTGTGGGGGAGAAGAGCAGAGCCAATCTTCATGCTGCTGGCACGGGTTCTGAGGGGAAGCGATGTCTTGCAGCGCCACAGATGAAGCCTGGCGACTGCTGTCGTCCTACCTGGAACGTTACCCATCCCAGAACAGTCTGTACCATCGCTGCGTCATCAACAAGCTCATGGCACACGGGATACCTCTGCCCAACTGGCTCATCAACAGCTACAAGGTGAGAATGTGGAGAGCGTAGCTGCTCAGCACATCCCGTGTACTGACTGAGGCCAAAAAACCCCAGTCGTCCTGGCTGCTGGCCTTTGCTTTGGCAAGCACGTCCCCAGCCAGACACTTGCAGGCTACATATCACCTTTCCTGCCCCCCTGCTGCCCCCAGCTCTGGGAACTTGTGCCAGAAGCTTTGTGCCTGTTACTAGGGCTCAGAACAGTTCCTCCAGGCATCGTAGTGGTTATTGAGAGAGCTCCCTGGCCAAAAAAGCCAGGCTGACACCAGCCCCCTTTCCTTGCAGAAAGTGGATGCCGCTGAGCTGCTGCGTCTCTATCTGAATTACGATCTGCTGGAGGAAGCTGTAGATCTGGTCCTGGAGTATGTGGATGCTGTGCTCGGCAAAGGTCACCAGTATTTTGGAATTGAGGTGAGCTCATCTCCAGCCGGGGACGTGTTGAACTGTCCCTGGAGCATCTCCACTGGGCTCCTTGGGCAGTAGTTCCCCTTTCTTCCCTGCTTACGTCCCCTGAAGGAACAGCTAAGCAGAAGCAGTGAGTTGCCTCATGCTCAGGGCATAGGGCATGACGGCGGGTGGCAGAGCAGCTCTTCCCTCAGCAGCCTGCGGGAAGCCTGCAGGTGCCTCTGTTCAATTCTAGCGTGCTTCCTTGGGGCAGTTCACTGCTTGGTGTTTGGGTGCTTCTTTATGAATGACTTGGATGACGGTGCTTACAGGAGAAAGTAGTGTGATCCCCTCTAGAGAAGAGAGGACCTTTTAGTGGCATTAGTAACGCATACGGCAAGCAGGTGTCAGAAGCAGTTGTTGTGAGCTCTTCCTCACCCTGGAAGTAGGGAGGAGTGTTTCTGCCATGAACACTGCACAGCATAAGGTTTCCTCTTCCCTCCAGTTCCCGCTGTCTGCTACTGCCCCAATGGTGTGGCTCCCCTATACCGCCATTGACCAGCTGCTCCAGGCCTTAAGAGAGAGCGCCACCAACCAACACAACATCGTGGTAGGTAGAGCTTCCTGCCCACGTGCAGAGCGCCCTGGCTTGCTGGGGAAAGCGAAGGGTGCTTACAAACAGCCTGTTGGGGGAGTGAGGGTTACCGGGGCACGAGTGCGAGCAGGAAGCCGTGAAAGAAATCACTGCAGTTCAGAGCTTGGCGAGGAGGAGCTGAAGGGATGGATGCCCAGAGCGTGTGCCAGCTGGTAGGGAATGGAGTTCCTAACTCCCTGGCCTTGCTGCGCAGCCCGGGGATAACTGCTGGTCCTCTTGTACGTGGCTGGGGCGCTCTGCGGGAGGCTTCTCCTAGAGCCACGTGGGGATGTTGTGCCGAGAGAGCTGATTTCAGGAGAAACCTGCCAAAGGGCAGCGCAGGTGATGCTTGTGTTCTGCACCAGATGCAGAGCAGGGCGCGTGCCTAGAGGGAGTCTGCAGGAAGGGAACTGGAACTGAACGCATGAAACCAGGGGGAGGTGACCCCGGGACGCTCCTTGATGCCTGACTCAGGCTAGAGGTTGGGGGGAAGGAGCTGATAGAACTGACAAATTAGGAACCAAAAGTGCTGAACAACTGTTGAGGACCACTGTTCCGTCTCATGACATCTGCGTCCTAGAGCGCTCCCATTGCTGGGGAGAGACCCTAAAAGACTGGTTGCTTTCACGGGAGACTCGGGAGCAGCCCTGCTAGCTGCTGGCTCCTCTTTTGTACGAGCAGAAGAAAGATGGGAACGGTGCTTGGGAAAAGGAGGTGGGAGCGAACCGTGTCGCTCGTCTCTGATGGCTGCTTTGCCTCTTGCCTAGCTCTACCAGAAGGTACATGACAAAATGGAAGACTACCAGCAGAAGGTCAGCGTGGCCACGCGAGACCGCTTGTACCGGCGCAACTAGCGGTAGTCCGGGTCCATGCAGCGTTGGCCACAATCCAGTGCCCGGAGAGACACGGGTCTGAGGCCCAGGACAGCTTGTGCTCAAGGTGACAGGTCTGTGTGGCGCTCTCTGCCAAGGCCTGCCCCTGCGAGCTGACAAAGTCCCACTCTGTGCTCGCTCAGCTGGTGGTGCTATTTTTAGTCATTTTTCCATAACGGTCCCGTTCCGGGGGACAGAGTAGATTTTCAATGTGTCGAATATGCATCCGCGTATCCCTTTGGGGTATCAGCAATTACTTTCAAAGAGCACTGGCGTAAGATGGTGTGTTCAGTCTGCCCTGCCTCTTTTTATTGAACTCCTTTGCCAGGGGGAGTCCTGTCTTTCTCATTCTGTATGATACATGGAAGGTTTTGGCATTTCTTTTATTTATTGTGGTGTTTTTGAATGACCTTTAATAAAAGAAAACGTTACTACAAGCCCAGGTCAAGACTGTTGAGCAACTGAAAACTGGTATTTTCTAAACTTTCGCTGCCTTGCAAGGAGGACGTTCTGGGAGCACAGTGGCAGCTTAAGCAGGGTTTGGATGGCATAGTGCAGGCTGTAGGGACTTCCTCTCCCTGGAGGAGATTGTACGTGCGGAAGCCTGGCTGTAGGACCACTGTTTTCTTGCCTGGAACCCTCTATAGAAGACACGGTAGGAACATCGTGGGTTCATCCCATTGACGAGTGGCCTGCAAGCTCCCTGGTGAGCGTTCAAACAACTGTTCCTACTTTGTTTTTGTTTTTTAATGCTGTAGCACAGAAGCTTTCAGGACTGTGGTGGTCTCATGTGCTGCTTTAATAGGGTTAGAGCAGTCCCTGATGTGAGGGATCCCTCGCTGTAAGCGCGCCAGTCACCTTTGAAATCTTTTCTTCTCCCTGCTCCACGAGGCCGCCAGCTTGCAGGCAGGGTGCGGAGAGGGGGAAGTCGCAGATCACGGCAGAGAAACGCAACGTGAGCTGCGCTGCCTGCCGCCTCAACTGCCTCTTCCCCGCTAGCCGCTGGGCGTCCTGAGCCGAGGGCTTGCCTCCTGCCTTGCGCCACCTCGGCGGCTGTCGTGGCACGAAGCGCTCGCGCTGGTAATCCACCCTGGACGCGCTTACGGCTTGAGTTGCAAATAACCAGGCCTGTCGTGCCCTGGGCCTTGCTCTCCCCCTGTGGCAGCAGGCTGCTGCCCCACGGTCCTCCCCGCCGGCCCCCGGGGCCCCCCTC